CCAGTCTGGGCGACAGAGTGAGACTCCAACTCAAAAAAAAAAAAGAAAGAAAGAAAATAAATCCAATGTGGACTAAGTATATCAACGATCTTATTAACCAAAGATTGCTGTAGTACTTTCAAGAATGACTTGAAGGCCAGGCGTGACAGCTCATGCCTGTAATCCCAGCACAGACCAGTCTGGGCAACTTAGCGAGACCTCCTCTCTACAGTAAATCAAAGAAATTAACTGGGCATTATGGTGGGTACCTGTAGTTCCTGCTACTCAGCAGACTGAGGTGGAAGGATCACCTGAGGCCAACAGGTCAAGGCTGCAGTGGCTGTGAGTATGCCAGTGCTTTACAGCCTGGGTGACAGAGTGAGACTCTGGCTCAAAAAAATAATAATAATAATGACTTGGAAAATGGACCTATTAATGAGAATTTAACTGGTAAAATAAAATTTAGGGTGAATGAGACTTAGATAATTACATGAGCGCAGTTTACTGAAGGTCCTACATTCTGTTTTCTTATAAACTCTCAAATTATAGAAAGGAGGTGTTCAGTGCTGACTGTAAGATTAGAGCAGGATGAGAAAAAGAAACTAGATTCTTATCTTGCTCAGTTGCATTTACTGAGATTATTGAATGTCACTGACTTGCAGATGTTTACTCTCATTAAAATCTATCAGAAGGTTTTTCATCTAGAAAATAAAATCAAAAGGAAGTCAAAAGTATTTAATCCTTTCATTCATGAATGATACAAAGTCTCCACACACAACCCTGTATACTCACCTTTGTTGAAGCATTTTCAAGTAAACTCCATGAAATTTAGATGAAGCACTGTTGGTAGCCCTACCTATAAGCCTTGAAGAACTTGGAGGCTGCAGAAGACGAGAAAGACCCAGGTAATGAGTCAAAGTAATGAGGAGTCATGAAGGACTCAGGTAGTCTTAATTCCCTAACTCCTCAGTGGTTACGCAAATTCAACAAAGTTGTTCAGAGTCCCTTTTAAAGTCAGCAGACCTCTGTGTTTACATAGAAGTTCTGTTCTCTCATGATCTTTAAACCCATAAGAGGTCAAAATCAGTTTCCTTCATTATAGCCTTTTGAACTTTCCAAGGGGTGCTAATGCAATTGCTGACACAAGGAAGAAATAGATACGTGTTGATTTTTTTTTTTTTTTTTTAAGTCAGATTCTTACTGCCACCATAGCCGCAACCTGCTGGGCTCAGGAGATTCTTCCAAGTAGCTGGAACTACAGGTGCGTACCACCACACCTGGCTAATTTTTTGATTTATTATAGAGATGAGGTCTTGACAAGTTGCCCAGGTGGGTCTTGAACCCACGGGCTCAGGCAATCCACTCACCTCAGCCTCCCAAAGGCACGGGATTACAGGCTGAGCCACCGAGCCCGGCTCCCAGGTTGATCTTGAACCCCTTGGGCTCAGGCAATTTGTTGATTTTATAGTAAATGCAGCAGCACTTTGCTTCCTTTTTCACACTAATTATTCCTTTTGTGGTCTTTCCTCTGTACATTCCTCTCTGATGGTACTTCTCACAAATATTTGTCTGCCCTACTACACCGTGAACCCTGTAGGACAGAGATTCATTCATCTTTGTATCTCCAGTACTTTCTGTCTGATATATTGTAGGAACACAATTACAGTTTGTTTAATCAATACATTTTGTTTCAATGTATCAGAATATCTGAACCTGTTACTGACTCAATATGTACATTTTTATTTTTAAGAGACAATCTTACACTTATTATTGCCTTTTTTCTCATGATTTTTAATATTTACAACATTTTGACAATATTATGAAGGCTCAATCAATATTAAGACTAATCAATATCAAGGTTAAACATGTCATCCAGCAAAGCACTCCTTATTAGTACTCGGGTAGCTGGAGTAATTGGAACCAAAATGTTCAGCAAAGATTAAAATTTCCTTTATTTCCTCATCAAAGTTAAAAGTCATAATCTGAAATGTTTTACTATACCAGTCTCCCAGAATTTTAAAATATAGCATGGCAATTTTTAGGGCTGGCAAACTATTCTGAATGATACTAAAATGGTGGATATATGTCATAATACATTTGTCAAAAACCTATAGAATATAAAGTGAACTGTAATGCAAACTACGGATTGGGGATGATAATGGTGTGTCACTATAGGTTCATCAACTGTAATAAATATATCACACTGATGAGAAATGGTGATAGTGGTAGAAGTTGGGGGGGGAGTATGTAAGAACTCTCTGTACTTTCCTCTCAATTTTGCTGTAAACCTAAAACTGCTCTAAAAATTAAGTCTATTAACTTTTTGTAAAGAAAGGATGACACTAAGATTACAAAAAGTGTTCCTTTTCCCAGGACTTCAACCCGGATACTTAATCAATCACAATTTTACAGAGGAAAAATAAAATCCAGGACTGTTTCTTCTATTGCCTTTTTTGAAATCCTCTACAATTTCAACCAAAGTCAACGTATTCAATAAAGTTACTATTTGGTAGTTGGTCTTTTCTTAATGAACATTACAAAAAGGAGCCAGACAGTGACACCGTGTGTGGGATTGGCAGGGAACATTCAATGCCCTGCCATGGACTCTTAAGCCCTTCCTGGAACGACTTGTCTAAATTTGCCTTGCTTGAGAGAACAGCTACATTATTTTTCCACTATGATGACAAAAGCCATTTGTGATACAGGAAATTTCAGAAGGACCCCTCTCTTTCAGGAGTTTATTTCTCTATTTGAGCTTGGAAGTATGCAAGTATAAATGCTTGAGCTTGAAAATCTATATTGTGATAGCAAAATGCTGGGAAATTTAAAGCAATTTCTTGATACATAAGGGCAAAAATTTATTTTGATCTCAAACTAATTTCCTAATATGGGTCCAAGAGAACATTATTTCAGGAAACTGTCTTTCTTATCTAAAGAGGGTTTGGTTATTTGACAAGTTAAGAACTCAACATTTCCCAAACTTACTTGACCCTATAACCTTTACAATGCTTACTAACATCCAAAGGAACTACGGTTGCAAAAATACACTTTGGAAATTGTCAATATGTTTGGATGATAATAAGAGTGAGCCATTAAAAATAACCTTTAAATCATTTTTCTCCACCATAACTTAAAATTATCTAGAGGAGTGAGAGGTTACTAGATAAACAATGCTAGATAATACTAGATGAGCAATGCTGAAGATTTTGACCAGAAAGGAAGTATGAACTGAACCACAGGAAGTGTGCAAACAATTGTCTTTATGTGATTAGTCCTTGAGCCCCTCAGTACTGTTTGGGTCATTTCTAAAGTGGCCTGTTTATCTCACTAGTTATCTCTCTCAATGTCCCCATGTTACGTTTCTAACATAAAATGATGTTTTTATATGCAATATAATGAGCTCATTACATTGAAATTCATAACTGTGTAAATAAGTTTTGTAATATTATAGATGTGTTTCCTTCAAATATTCTTTATTATGATGATAGAACCAGGACACAAAAATTAACATTCTCCTCTCTTTTATCACCTTTACCTAAAACTATCAGAAGTTTCCCTAAGTAAAGGTTGTTATCCTTTCAGGGCAAAACCCAGGGAGGTTTAAGTTAAATTGGGCACTCTATAAACGAGCCACACTCTTTAAATAAACTCTGTAAGAGCTTCTATTGCCCTAGCTCCTCTACCCTGATAAATGATTAGTCATCTAGTACCGTAAGGCTTTTTATTTGTTCTTTAAACTTTAATCTCAGTTAAAACTGGACTATATCCCTTCAGAGATATTGCCAAAATTAGGAAGATCATCACCTAAGAAGTAGGCAGTTATTGGTCTATTCAAATATACTTTTACCTTGAGCAGTTTTTCCTCTGATACAATGTAAATCCAGTAATAGCATATTTACATATTATGTCATATTTATGTCAATTAAACTTTTATTGACTTATGTAGTTATATTTTATTTAGATTTGTTCTAGTTTAACTTTATTATTTTCCTAAGCAGTAATATGTTTTTTTAAATGACTGCTAATTTTAAAAGCCCTTAAAATTATCTTATGTGACAGGACATAATGACTCATGTCTGAAATCTCAACACTTTGGGAGGTTGAGGCAGGAGAATCATTTGAGGCCACAAGTTGTAAGACCAGCCTGGACAGCATAGTGAGACTCCCTCTACAAAAAAGCAGGCACGGTTGAGCATACCTGTAGTCTCAGCTATGTAAGAGGCCGAGGTAGAAAAATTGCTTGAGCCCAGGAATTCATGGCTGCAGGAAGCCATGATCAGCCACCAGACTACAGCCTGGGTTACAGAGCAGGACCCTGTCTCCAAAAAAAATTAAAAAGAACCATGTGTCCCCAGTAGGACATCCAGCATATACCTTGGAAAATACTAATATGGAAATTTCCTGCCACAGAAATAAAGAATGAGAATTGGAGTGGGAAAAAGTAAAAATAACCTCTCATAACTTTTCTTCCTATAAGATATGTGCAAAAATAATTAAACAAAAGTATTTACTTTTGTTTTGCACTGCTTCCTGAAAAGGAGACAAATAACTCTTAAAATACTGTGATCAGTATTTTATAGTCAAGGACTATCAAAAGCATTGAAGGGGATACAACTCTAACATTGAATTTCTATGTGATACAAAAAAATACACCAAATAAAACATTTCATTGGAACTTGCAATTTTTCAGAAGACACTAATATCCTCTAGAATCAAAGACAGATATTGCTAATGCTTTTGACACGTGATACATGTGTGTACCTCTGTGTTTAATTTTCTTTCTTTCTAATCAAGTGACCTGTTCTCATTTGGTTAAGTTTCAACCACAAGACATCACTGTATGTTTTTCTTTTTTCAAGATACACGTCACAGCACTGCAAGAAAAGGGGAACTTCCAGTGTCTGTGGTAACATCATTTGATAAACAGACTCCTTTGAACAGCAAGTGCCTGTCTGCCTTCACTATATAAAGCAGAAGAGACGTTGACTATTTCACATTTGCTAAGAGTACCATGAGAGCAGCAGCCATCTCGATGTCCAAACTAGATAAAATGCCAGGAATGTTCTTCTCGGCTAACCCAAAGGAATTGAAAAGTACTTCCCTTCTGGAAGACAAAACGCAAAGAAGAAGGCCAAAGACTTTGTAAGTTCACTCAGTGTCTCACTTGGTGAATTTTAACTTGTATTAAGTTTAATGGCAGAAAGATTGAGAATGAATGAAAGAGAACTTAAGCATTTAGTTTAGCCAGATCAGAGGAGTTACTTGTTGTGAGTGATAAGTAATCCTCAGTTTAAAAAAAAAAAAAAATCATGATACAGCATTACATTGGGTGGGAATTTTTCTAGACACTGACTCAAAAGTGGAATCTATCTGGATATAGGAAAATGTATCAATTATTTTTAGTATTGCCTTATTCCTTAGAGAAGTTTATTCTATGTGCTTTTCTTTTTACAAATAAGATGAATTCTACTGAAGAAATGTGGCTATTCACTTTTGTGTCTTTTAGTGGAATGGACATGAAAGCTTACCTGAGATCTAGGTTTCCACATATGGAATCTGGAATGAAATCTTCCAAGTCTAAGGACATGTATGTACACTGATATACTGAATTATCACTATCATTCACAATGGCAGCCTATGCATTAGCTCTATGTACTAGAAAGGGATTAATTTTGCTCATAGTAGATTTTGTTTCTTCTAGATAACATGTCAAATAAGATTAGACTACATTAGTATCAATGTAAATTACATACAAACGTGTGTGTGCAAATATTTGCTACTTATTTTTGCACTGTTGGATTTTATCTGTTTGGATTTTTTCAAACTTTATTGGCAGGTTTTTTGTAACTATGGTAATGCTAAGAGTATTTGTGGGGGGGATATATTTTAATACATTTATTGGAACTATAGTTTTAGCTTGTGAAATTATCAAAATGCAACAGCTACTCTTATTTCATTTGTGCTGACACAAAAATATATTTTATTAATTTATGTTCATTTTGCCCCTTGCAGACTTTCTGCTGATGAAGTAATACAGTGGTCTCAATCGCTGGAAAAACTTCTTGCCAACCAAAGTAAGTATAGATCAGCTATTGAATGTTTCTGTGTTCAGTTCAATTCCTTAATAAATGGACTGGCTTCACTAAAACATAGTATTCTAGGCACAGGATGTCAAAAGTAGTATTCTAGTTTGTGGTCACTTATAATTTAGAATATCTCTTTGACTTAGCACTCAATCCTGCCACTGTCTTTTAGACAAATTTGCCAAGACAATTAGGTGTTTCCATGTGTCATTAAAGAAATAAAATTAAACCTTGTGCTGGGGTTCTGAAGTTTAAAGTCTTTAAAAGTAAACCAAATATCTCAACATGTGAATTGTCATTTTGAAGGCTGCCTAAATAATGCATTTTTGTACAGTTGAATGTAAAGAATAGGATACATTTATTCAATGAATTATATTATGCACACATTCACCAACTCCCTCATTAATTTCACCTTTATTTGTTAGGCGTTGCAGAGACACCAAAGATTCAAAATCAAAGACACAGTATCTTATTGCCTTGAAGGTGGTCGAAACACACAAAGTAAATAATTACATTATATTTAACATGATACTTTTTATATCATGGATATGATAAAATTTTTTAACACAAAGAGTCTTATAAAGATTTTCTGAAGAGAGAAGGTAGAGAATGAAATCAGTTTGTCATAAGCTTGTCATTCTTATCATGAGCTTTGCAATTCTGCTGGGATTAGAGGTGCAGATAAGCAGTATAGTCTCTCTCTAGAGAGTGAGGTTATCCTTTTCTCCCCACAAACATCCTAAAGAGTCTTGCTTGGGAGTCAAGTTGTTCAACCTAGCTCATCCATCATATTATCTGACTTAATATACAATTCAGCTAAATAAATGGTATAGAAATGGCCCATATAAGAGTCTCAGTAAACACTGGTAAATATAATCAGTACATCAGGCACATTGTTGGCTAAAATGAATTAGATAGAGAAATTATATTTGGCAGTTATTAATATGGTGTCAATGTCTGTTGTCAATGTTTACTTCCCTAAATTACTCTTCACTGTGGTTCAGAGTTGATATGGCTGGGCTCGGTGGCTCAGCCTGTAATCCTGTGCTTTGGGAGGCCGGGGTGAGTGAATTGCCTGAGCCTGCGGGTTCGAGAACCGCCTGGGAAACTTAGTGAGACCTCATCTCTACAATAAATCAAAAAAATTAGCCGGGTGTGGTAGCGCATGCCTGTAGTTCCAGCTATTTGGAAGGCTGAGGCGGAAGAATCCCCAGAGCCCAGCAGGCCGAGGCTGCGGTGGCCGGGAGCGTGCCACTGCCCTCCAGCCTGGGCGACAGAGTGTGACTCCAACTAAAAAAAAAGAGTTGATATATACAAGAAGAGAGACTGCTTTATAATCAGCAAAGCAGAATTTCAATCAAATAGACTTGGAAGCAGAGCACAGTTCAGTAGCCAACACTAAGCAGCTATGTGACTGTGGACAAATTTGTCCGGCCCCAGATTCCCCTTATATAAATGAAGGAATCTCAAGGGTCTTCCCACCTCTACAAACTATGACACAGCTATTTAAGCAACCAAAATCTCTTACCTTTGTACAAAAATAATGCAGTAGTGTTTCATTTACAATTAAAAAATATTCATTTATTGGTCCATTTAATTTAATTATCTCAACCCCCCACCCCTTCTTTTTAGCTGGTCAAGATGTCTTCGGAAATTTTCTAAAGTCTGAATTCAGTGAGGAGAATATTGAGTTCTGGCTGGCTTGTGAAGACTATAAGAAAACAGAGTCTGATCTTTTGCACTACAAAGCAGAGAAGATATATAAAGTATTTGTGCATTCAGATGCTGCTAAACAAGTGAGTATTAAACTCTTTAATCAGATCCTCTGTAAAATAACTTAGATACAGAAATAACATTCAACATATATAACAAGATGAAACCCTTTTAGGGTATCATAATTTATTTCTATATATTTGGGTATACAAATATAGTTCAGTGCAATGAGAATCTAATTTTCTGTATTTGTGAGGATTTCAGCACAATAGAATGAAAAGATTGATTTTGCAAGACTGGCTAACATGATGAGGGCAAGAGAAGGAGGGTAGGCATAACTGGCCAGAACTAAGTGTTAGGGAGCTGACATGAACTACCTCATCTTGGATAAGAATAACATGCAGATTAGTGTAATACATACTATTGTAGGAGCAAGTATGTTTCAGTTCGCAGTAGTACCATCTTTCAGGTAAATATTATTGACCAAGGCAGAAAATAACTGCACAGTCTTCTCCTTTTGTAAATCTTAAATGCTCACATCACTCTTTATGATGTACATAACACTTTGTGTGGATATTTTAAATTTTTTATGTCTATCTCTTTTGCTTCTTCCAATTATACTGTGAGCAAACTTGGAGCAAAGACTTTTTGGGTGATATTTCTTTGTGTGTGTGTGAGAGAGAAAGTAGGATTTATTGAGGGGATAGAAAAGCTCCCACAGTGGGAGGGGACCCGAGGGGGTTACCTTCTTTTAGGTAATTTTTCTTATCTCCCTCATGCCTAGTGTAGTGTAGGGCTGACTTTAAAAAGATATTCAAGAGATATTTGAATCAATTTAAGTGAGGGCTTAAAATCACTTTTTGAGGTACTTGAAAAAACACAGTAATATCATAAAAGTTGCGATAAATAAAAAGTGCATATTAACTAATGAGAATTTCTTTTTAGATCAATATTGACTTCCACACTCGAGAATCTACAGCCAAGAAGATCCAAGAAGCACCAACTCCTACATGTTTTGATGAAGTCCAAAAAATCATATATACTCTTATGGAAAAGGACTCCTATCCCAGGTTCCTCAAATCAGATATTTACTTAAATCTTCTAAATGACCTTCAGGTTAATACCCTAAAGTGACTAGACTTGGCTAAAGGAACCTAAAAGATGGTATCAAGTAGGTACAGAAGGAATATGCCAGTGTGGTTCCCTGGGTGAACAAGTTGGCCCTTTTGGGTGACTTGACAGGCCCAGGGAAAGAACAAATGACTCAGGATGGAATAACATGAAAGTTACCAAGGCACAGAGTTGAAGAAGCATAAACAAGACACAAAATGAGAGACTACAGAAGGAAGGAGATGCCGTGGTACTGTCATAAAAAACAGTAGAACTCTGTATTAGAAAATCCATCAGAACTGGGGATCCCAGGTAACCCTAGTTACACAGAAACTGTGAATAAAGACTATAAAACTGATTACAACATGCTATAAGCTTCAAAGTCAACTGACAGCTATGCAAATATTATTATATATAGTTTATATTGAGCTGTTGAATCTCATGAACAAACTTGGATGACTACTTGAAAAGTATGTGTTTTGAAATCACCATTGCTATTATTGACAAAATTATTTTAGGTGTTGTTTTGTTTGTTTGATTATCGCAGGCTTGGAAGAGATGAGAAAACAGCATATTTAACTTAAGCTATTTCTCTAAAAACCAGTAAGTCAGAATATATTTGTAAATTAAATTATCAGTGCTAACAATAAATATGAATTTTGTATTAAAACATATAGAAGAAATTTATTTTTGTATTTCCTTGCTACTTTTAAAAACTAGCATTTATTCCTCAAATTTTAAAAAAAATATTAAAAATTCAGCCAACAGTCTTCTTTCTATCATCTCTTCAACATCCAAAGCTATCATCCAATGAAAACTATATTTTACGAATTAGATTGGACAGAATTCATCAGTTTTCTCTCTGCTATCACAATACATAAAAATCAAACAACTATAATACAATCTCATGTAGTCAAGCTTCAAATCAATGAGAAATTGATGAAAAGTTTTTAAAAAGAAATGGAAAGATTATTTCAAGAAGTAATAAAATCAACAACTTATATTTTATTGTGATTTAAAGTTTATAAAACCCAGATGTATTTTCTCATATAAGATTCATAGAAATCCTATGAAAGTGGAGACTAAGGAAGATTAAGTTACTAGTTCCCATATCCAGCTAACTCTCTAATTACTTAGAATGTTAAAACACCCATGTACCCGTTTGGGGCTCTGATATCAGACTGACTGAATCAGTCTCTCCACAGAGTAGAGTATGGGACTCTATGTGTAACAGGAAACCCCAAGCGTTTCTGAAGATGATATTATAATCCAGGGTTGAAAACCTGGGAATTAAAGGGCAGAAACACTGGCAGGGATCGCCCACAAACCTTCTGACCACACAACCTATATTCCTTCCTCTATGCAACACTGCCATCCAGTGACCAGAAGGCATTTCCTAACTCACTACAGTCTGCAACAGTCCCAAGTATCAAAGTAGGAAATTAAGATCCATCTTTAAGGCTCAGCTATAGAAAGCAGAAAGACAATCAAGATCGTGCATATTTCAGCCAGGCATAGAGTAGCCAGCCCTGGAGTGGCTAGAGCAGGGCTTGAGGAATCTGTTCTGGGTTTTCCGTCGGCCTTGGTGACCTTCTGGAGTGTTAAGGACAGTAAATGGGCCCCTCCAGAGGGGCTTTAGAGGCTGTATATTCCATTCTTTTACCCATACCATTTCACCTGGCTTAAAAGAATGGGCCTCAGCAGTTAAACTAATTGGCAACCATTCTGACTTGACAAAGGATAGCATTTAGGACTGAACCTAAGGCTTGCATTTGCTGTTTTAGAGTAAGATTTCCTAACTCCTTTAAGTCTCCCCATATGCCCTTAACAAGAGGGGTTGGCCGCCCATAAAGAATTTGAAAAGGCAAGAAACCTGTTTGTTTGGCAGGGCTAGACCTTACTTACCCTTAGAAGAACTACTGGCAGAAGCTGGACCCAGCCTGAATGAGGTTCTTGGTATAATTTACTTAGTTGTGATTTTAAGGTCCAGTTTATTCACTCCACCTTTCCTGAACTTTGTGGCCTATTCGCTGTATGGAGCTTCCATTTGATTTGCAGTCCTTTAGCCATTAACTGTACTATCTCGGCTACAAATGCCGGTCCACTGTTCATGCAATGAGTTCGGCTCTCTGAGCTGAAGTTCCTATTAGCAGAGGTTTCACCTCGACTGTTGAGTTTAAAGTTATCACTGAATAGCCTGCAAAGCGCTCCCCCTCTGGTACGAAACTGCTCCCATCCATGAATTATTTGACTTCAGGGTCGCTGAGGGGCTGGTCTGTTAAATCTGGATGGCAAGAGAATGCTTCATTTATGATTGCAATGCAGTCATACACTGGTCTGACTGTGCTGTCTCTATGGATAGTAAGGTCTTTACCACCTCTAGGCAAATGTGTGGGTTTTTCACAGAGCATTCCCTGACATCTGACCATCCAAGCATTTGTTAGCCAATATTGTCTTTTGTATTTTATTAAATTTATCACCACATGAGGCATCCTGACTGTTAGGTGTTGTCCCATAGTTAGTTCATCAGCTTCTGTTATCAGGAGTGGCTGCCAGGACTTGTAAACAAGGCGGCCAGGCCTGGGCCACAGAATCTAGCTGTGTGGATAAATATGCCCCAAGTCTATGCCATGACCCTAGCACTTGAGTTAAGACCCCTACTGCAGTGCCAACCCGTTCATGCATGTATAAAAAGAAAGGCTTCGTCACATCTGGGAGTCCCAGACCGGGTGCCTTGGTGAGGGCCTGTTTAATTTGTTCAAAGGCCTGTAGTTGAGCCTTTTCCCATAGCAAAGGCTCCCATTCACTCCCCTTTGTGTCTTCATAGAGGGGTTTGGCCATGATGGCTAAGTTAGGTATCCAAACTCTACAGAACTCTGCAGCCCCCCAAAACTTTCAAATTTATAGATTTAAATGTTTCCAGTTAGTTCCCTAGAGGGGTGAGACCCATCAGGGACGCCCAGTCTCCTGAAACTAAAAGTTACCCACAAATTTACTACTATAGAAATAGGACCATCCTTAGGATCCCTTTCTCTTTCCTTGTAGCTGTTGGTTGTGTCTTTCCTCTTTTCAATTTTAGCAGCACTTACTCCCCTGGGATGTCTGGTTTCCATGATCCAGGGAGTTCCTAGGGAAACAAACTTATGAACTATGATTAAAATTTGTCCCAAATGGACAACATATTTCCTTATGAGCATCTGTCTGTGGCCCCATTTCCTTCAGAGGTGTAGGAAGAGGCCTACCATTAAACAATTTCAAAGTTTTAATGAATCCCATCTCAGGGACTGACGGATCCTGAGTGATGCAATACCAAATACCTATGTTCAGTTTACTTGTGTCTCCAAAGGGTTTCTAGTGATTATTATGCTAAACTGAAAATTGAAAGATTGTGCTGTCCTAGTCCTACATCTGATGGAGTTTTCTTTGTATTTGCCAAGGGGTGGGGTAGGCTGCCACTTGGCCTGCAGTAGAATATAATTTTTTAAATATTTGAATGCCTTCTAAAACTTACCTCTGGGAAATTTATCTATGTCTAGCCTGTGCTAGCTACCCTGCCTCAATTATTTATACTTTAGAGATTTTTCAATCCCTTAATTATATGGGGTGCTGAGGGGTGAAGGTCCATTTTCTGTAACTTCTTCAGAGCTGACAGTGGGCGTAGTCCTGCCTAGTCAGAGATTGAAAATCTTTCCCTGTCTGACTTGAGGCGTCCAGATCTGTTTCAGCAGTGGCATCGTTTGCAGGCACTGACTGGAATCCTCGCATGACCATTATGTGGGCATGAAATAGCTGGATACTGGCTTAATAAAAGGAATAAATGAGGGAAACCCCTCTTTCAAGAAGTAGAACAATTAAGTGAAGCCAGGCATGCATTTTTGACAGTATTAGGTGGTGGCTGATCACCTTTTGTACAAAAGTTACAAGGCCTGAAGTAATCAGCATAACCTAAATGATAAATTTTAGTTTCTGTGGCTTTATTACAAGTGCCAGCTTTGGGAGTTTTTAATGTATTTCTGGACTGTATTGGTAGCCTGACAGATTGTTTTAGACTATAATTCGAACCAGGCACTCAAGTAAATTTTATATAAAATTTGAAAAGAAATCCAAAAATGTTTAGAAACCTGCATCCGCCTAGATTGTCTATAGAAATTCTTTTATATATTTTTTTTTCATAAACTTTCCACATACCATTTTTGGCATGCTTATACCATTTTTTGACACGTTTGAACCTTTTATTTTTGTTCTATACTCCCTTTTTTTTCTTACTAAAACCTTATTTGTACACCAATAAACTTTTTATATTTTTCCTTTTTGCTTTCCTTCTTTTTTTTTTTTTTTGAGTTGAAGTCTCACTCTGTTGCCCAGACTGGAGTGCAGTGGCCGCTCCCGGCCACCGCAACCTCGGCCCGCTGGGCTCCAGCGATCCTTCCGCCTCAGCCTTCCGAGTAGCCGGAATTACAGGCATGCGCTACCACGTCCAGCTGATTTTTTGGTTTATTGTAGAGACGAGGTCTCGCCAAGTTGCCCAGGCGGGTCTTGGACCTGCGGGCTCAGGCAATCCACTCACCTCAGCCTCCCAAGGCGCAGGATTACAGGCTGAGCCACCGAGCCCGGCTGCTTTCCTTCTTTTTATCTTTTTATAGATAACCTTTTACAGTCATAACTTGAATTCACCTTTTAGTAACTTTTTATTAGAGGTTAGGTGAAACATTTAACTTTTGGAACACATTTAGCTCCCAGTAGAGAGCAAGTGTCAGAAGAATTAGGTTCAGTATGAGCACAAGGGCTAAAAACTTGGCCTCAGTATTACTCAAGAAATTAATTTGGACCCCAGCCACATTCATACAGACCCAAGGATTCTCTGAGGTGATGGCAAACAGAGCGCTGGGCTGGGCCGTGCCCCCACCCCCCTTCAGTCAATGGCCACCATCACCGAGCTAGGTGTTCCCTCCCCTTCGGGAGAGGCCACACCATCTCTTTCAGTGACCTTTTAGTCTGCATGTTAGACAAGGTCCTGGGGACTTAGGCCATCAAGAACAATTGTACTTCAAGTGCTCAGACTGACCACATTCATGGCAGCTGACACTATCCCCCTTAGCAGGTTTCTTCTTATCAGGTCTCTTTTGGGTGGCCGGAGCTGTGTCATTAGTGGCAACAGCCAATAGGTTTGTTTACTTTTTGTCTCTCTGGTGCTCGTCCTGGAGTTCTTCTCTTTTTTTTTTTTCTTTATGTCTAAGTTTCTAAAAACTTCATAAGCTTTCTGTAATTGGGAGTTTGGAATTTATAGTCCTGAATTAAGCCTCTAGAGTTGGGTATTTAATATTCCACAGAATATAATCTTGTTTACAAAGTAATGAAATAAATTTTTTTAGATGTCTTTACATACAGAACTTTTGACCATTTTTCTTTATGTCTACAAAGTGAATGTAATTGCCAGATGGTATTAAAGCAAAGTCTTGTTTCTTTCCAAACCTCATTATCTGCTAACTTGTAGTGAGTTAAAATTTTATTTTAATAATGCACTAATTTTTTTTTTATTTTAAACCATGTAATTTTTTTTTTTTTTTCGAGTTGGAGTCTCACTCTGTCGCCCAAACTGGAGTGCAGTGGCCGCTCCCGGCCACCACAGCCTCGACCTGCTGGGCTCCAGCGATCCTTCCACCTCAACCTTCCA